CAGAGTCCATACTCAAGTAAGTCTTTGCTGGGATGGACTTTTCTATCTGTGTTCACTCTAGGAGACCATGTGCATGCTTGGGGACACACAGCAGTTTGGAGGGTTGGCTGCAGACATGGAAGTTGGGTGGGTGTGAAATTCCAGGGAGGTGGGTGATCTTGCACCCTGGTTGGCTCCCCTCCCTGACAGCCCTGTCCCGCCTCTCAGGTCCCTGCAGGGGCCACAGTGGCAGAGCGTGGAGGAGGCGTTCCCCCACATCTATTCCCATGGCTGTGTCTTGAAGGATGTCTGCAGCGACTGCACCAGCTTTGTGGCTGACGTGGGGCGCTCCAGCCGCAAGAGTGTGGACGTGCTCAACACCACGCCACGACGCAGCCGGCAGACCCAGTCCCTCTATATCCCTAATACCAGGACTCTTGACTTCAAATGACACCCATGGCGGCCAGGGCTTTGGGGAATTGACCTCAGCCCCGCACCAGGCTGGGCAGTAGGAGCTCCGCATGTACATATATATATAGAGAGATACATTTATATAATATATACACATAGCCTATATATTTATATATTGTTTCCTGGCTCCAGAGCTCATTTGGGGTCAGGTTCACTCCAGGACCCTCCCTGGGGGAGGACGATTCCTCTCAGGATTTCTGGGGGGTGGGGGGAATCAAGGAATGGGTTTTCTCACAGAAGGAAAGCAGAGGGTTCCAGACCCTGGGGCTCCTGACATAGACTCCCCTGCCCCACATTCCCATTCTCTTCTCCATCCCCAGGAATGAGAACATGGCAGCTTCCCTTCCTTGGGTGGATGTCCACATGTGGACGGGGCATCTTGGTTCCCAGGTGGACCAGAGCTCCCTGACTGCCTCTGCCCCCCTGGGGGCGGGGGAAGCACCTGAGAAGTCTGAGTGGGTGGGATAGTGTGGAAGGTTGGCACCAAGCTCGCTTCCTGCTCCTTGCTTGGGGAGCCATTCTCCAGCCACCTTGCCCCTCTTGGCCCCACTGCACGCTGGTGCTATCCTCACTCACCACTAACCCAGGGGCCCCTGATGATACTGGGTGATCCTGGAACAGGGAAAAGCAGCTCTTCAAATCTGTGTACATGGCCACTCCTGGCCTAATAAAGGTGGACTCACAGTCTTGTCTGGGGTGTACACTGAGTATGGCAGTGGGTACGTTTTCACAGGGCTAAAGCTGGACTCTGAGGCACCTCCTGCCCAGCCTTCCCAGCTCAGCAGTCAGGTGCTCCTCAGGAGATGAGGGTACCCAGCCCCAGTCTGTCCACAAAGCCCTGGCTGGCCCTCCACCGGCCATCCTGGTCAGAGCTCCATGAGTAACCTCTCACCTCCTCTGGTGGCAACTGCCAACTGGGGACTTTTTGGTCTCATTTCCCAGATCCCAGGGAGGGGCTAGAGGTGCCATCTCAGCAGGCTTCAGGTAGGCCCTATGTTGAGTGCTTGTCTGCTCATGGACACCCAGGAGGTGGGTTCTGTCATCCTGCCTTTTGGATGAGGAAACTGAGGTTCATCAAGAACTCATTGGGACATCAACCACCCTTTAGCTCCAGGCTGTAATGCCTCCCATGGGGCCTGGAGGTCACAAAGGGCCATGACTTGTATAGATAGGGCTGCTCGAGAGAACTCTTACCAGCTGTGGTCAAGGAAATTCAATATACACAATTAGAGCTGCTAATAAAAAATCAGCTGCCAGCACTTGCTTGAGCACCTCATAGACTCCCTGCCCCTGTATTTTTATTCCCATTTAAAAAATAAGAGGCATCGAGAGGATCAGGAATTGCCCCTGGTCACGCAGCTCTCTTGTGGCAGATGATCCTGGAAGGTAAGTGCTACTGTCACTCTCCTGATGTTATAGAGGCTCCCACTCCCAATCATGGGGAGACAAGGCTCTAATCCACAGGGGGCACTTGGAAATGAAAGCCCATAAGAGAACCAAGATCAAAAATATATCCTGAGAATGGCTGAACTGAGAGGCAATGCCTACCTACCTGGCTCGCACAGAGCTGCTTCCTGCACAAAGTCACAAGGAGAACTGCTGCCCCTCTGTCTCCTTGTTGCCTTCCTGCTCAGGGTTGCTGCATTGCCTCTCCCCAGCCCCAGGCACGGAGTTCCCAAGTTTCCACCCATAGGCCAAGCAAGAGGCCTGCATAAATTGACCAGACCAGTTGACCAAGGGTGATAAAGAAAACCAACAACTAGCTTGGTCCCAAGCAGTCAAAATAGACACAGGGTGGTATCCTGAGTGTTCCCGTTAGTTGCTGGATTGGGGATAGGGCCCAGGAGACTGCAGGAGTGGAGGACAGGGCAGGTGAGGGCTGGAGGAGGCAGCTCTGTGCCAGCCACTGTAAAATGCTTCAAGGTCCTAGCAGTGGGGACAGGTGGGAGAGCTGACAGGCCAGCCATGCAAAGTATTCAGAGAGTAATGGTTGAACTCAACTTCCAACCCAAGTGAGGAACATTCAGATGCATGGGGAGGCAGGCTGGGGGTAGGCTCAGGGACAGAGCCGGGGAACAGGGGTTCCAGAGGCCATGACCTACCCTTCTTCCTTGCAGCAGTCTTCCTCATCTGGACTTTGGATCCACAGGCCAAAATGTAAACCCAGTTTTCTCTGGGCCAGTAACTTATTCTTGGATTTTAGTTTCTTCACTCGTGAAAGGGCAGGAATGTTGTGCAGGCCTGACTGACTGCAGAGTTAGGTCAGCCCCAGGCTCAAGACCACGATCTCTCTGCTGTCATGGCGGAGAGGGAAACTTACCCCAATGTCTGTTCACCTTGATCTTGCATTTGGAGCTCTGTGGTTCTCAGTCTTGGCTGTCCCTGAAAAGCTTAAAAATATCCATGCTGGTCAGGCACAGTGGCTCATGCCTGTAATCCTAGCACTTTGGGAGGTGGAGTGAGAGTCCAGGCGTTCAAGACGAGCCTGGGCAACTTGGCAAGATGTGTCTCTACAATAAATCAAAAAATTAGCTGGGCATGGTAGCACTGTAGTCCCACCTCCTTGGAAGGCTGAGGCAGAGGGATCATCTGAGCCCAGCAGGTGGTGGCTTCAGTAGCTTGAGCGTGCCACTGCACCCTAGCCTCGGCAACAGAGTGAGACTCAGACTCAAAATAACAATAATAGTAATAAATCAATGCTGGAGCCCACCTCAATCTCTGGGGGTGGGCCTTCCTAACTTTATTGTAAAAATCTCCCAGGAGGCTATGAAGTACAGTAAGTGTGCAGAACTTTGACTTGAGACCACTGACTCCCCTACCCAGGAGTGCAGAGGCACCTGTTAACATTAAGGACAAAAAACAGCCCTCAGTTTCAGTCCTGTCCTTGGGGGAGGGTGCCCAGGAACCTGTAGTTCTGATCTGGTCCCACCCACCTTGGGGAAGTGTGCCCAGGAACCTGTAGCTTCAAGAAATTCCTCAACCTGGATGGGTCATTCTAGGAAGGGAACTGTCTCTTCACAGTCCCACAGCTTGGACAGTAACAGGAGGCAGGTTACGTAGGGGCTGGGAGAGTGACAGGTGGTGGGGTCACATAGGGGCTGGGAGAGTGATATGTGCAAGGTCACATAGGGGCTAGGAAAGTGACAAGTGTGAGGTCACATAGGGTCTGGGAGAGAAATGGGTGGCAGGTCACCTAAGGGCTGGGAGAGTGACAGGTGGCATGTCACATAGGGGCTGGGAGAGTGACAGGTGGCAGGTCACACAGGAGTTGAGAGAGTGACAGGTGTGAGATTACATAGGGACTAGGAGAGTGACAGGTGGCAGGTCACATAGGGGCTGGGAAAGTGACAGGTGGCAGGTCCATAGGGGCTGGGAGAGTGACAGGTGGCAGGTCACATAGCTGAGAGTGACAGGTGCAAGATCACATAGGGGCTAGGAGAGTAATGAGTGGCAGGTTACATAGCTGAGTGACAGGTGCGAGGTCACATGGGGCTGGAAGAGTAATGGATGGCAGGTCACACAGGTGCTGGGAGAGTGACAGGTGACACGGGCTGGGAGAGTGAGAGGTGGAAGGTCACATAGGGGATAGGAGAGTGACAGGTGCAAGGTTACATAGGGGCTAGGAGAGTGACAGGTGGCAGGACACATAGGGCTGGGAGAGGAACAGGTGGCAGGTCACATAGAGGCTGGGAAAGTGATAGGTGGGAGGTCACATAGAAGCTGAGAGTGACAGGTGTGAGGTCACATAGGAGCTAGGAAAGTGACAGGTGTGAGGTCACATAGGGGCTGGATGAGTAATAGGTAAGTCACATAGGTTCTGGGAGAGAGACTGATTGGGCTGGGAGAGTGGCAGGTGTCAGGTCACATGGGAGCTGGGAGAGTGATGTGCGAGGTCACATAGGGACTGGGAGAGTAACAGGTATGAGGTCATTTAGGGGCTGGGAGAGTGACGGGTGAGAAGTCACATGGAGCTGGGGGTGCAATGGGTGGCAGTCAGGTCACATAGGGGCTGGGAGTGACAGATGGCAGGTCACATAGGGGCTGGGAGAGTGACAAGTGGCAGGTCACACAGGGCTGGCAGGGTGGCAGGTGCGAGGTCACATAGGGTCTGGAAGAGTGACAGGTGCCAGGTCACAGGGGCAGGCGGAGCAAGAACTCCCTGCGTCGCGCTTGGTGGCCCCCTGTGGCCTGTCCTCCACCGCCCTCGTGGCCGTTCGTCTGTCCACGTCCCCGGCTCTCACCACTACACCCGCCCCACTGCGCTCCGAGAGCGGGGTTTAGCTCACGGGTCGAGGTCGCTGCACGCCTACACGCCCCACCCCGTCAGAGGGCGTCGTCAACCCCGGGAACCTTTCGAACCAGGGGAAATGCCGTACGGCACCCCCTGGCTGGACCCGCTGCGCAAGGCGCCCAGGTCTCGCGAGAACTCGTCCCGACGCTCCCGAACCTTCTTTGACGACGCCGCCGACGTAGAGGAAGTCCCGGGGAGCCGCAGGGCGCACGCGCCATACGCCAGCCTCACGCCAGCGCGTCGCGAGTGCGCCTGCGCCGCCGTCTTAGCCGCTCTTCCTTCCAGCTCGCCTCGGACGTCAGCGGCCGTCGGGTCCTATGTCGCGCCGGGCCCTCCGAAGGCTGAGGGGGGAACAGCGCGGCCAGGAGCCCCTCGGGCCCGGCGACCTGCAGTTTATACTCCGTGATGACGATGACGTGGAAGAAGACGGGTCAAAACGGGTCTCGGGTGGCCGGCGCCCCGGGGGCACAGGAGCAGACGGCGTCCGCGTCAACAACCGGTTCGAGCTGGTGAGGAAAGGGGCGGCCGGGGGCGAAGCGG